TACCGGGCGCAGAGCCCCGGACTACTCAGGCCACAGGGGGTCGTGGCTCTCTGGACTACCAGGAGTGCTCACACTGTGGCTACCGGGCGCAGAGCCCCGGACTACTCAGGCTACAAGGGGTCGTGGCTCTCTGGACTTCAGGCGCTGCGGACGACAAGTCGGCTACCTCCGGTCAACCTCCCCCAACTGTCCCACACCCCTTTCACACACTCCCTGCTGCACCTCTAGCACTGCTCACACGCCACCCCCCTCGAACCACTCCGACGGCTCCAACACATCCACCCCCCTCAGCGGCAGCTGCAGTAGTGGGAGACGGAGGAGGAGGAGGAGCAGGGGACGGCTCATACACACGGCACCCCCAGACTCTTCACCCCCAAACCCTAACACAGAAACGCAAGCAGCAGCGGGGGTGGGGTGCAGTCAGAAGCTCGAGGGACGGCGTGCGGCAAGCGGGGAGAAGGTACGGGCCACTCACGGGCCTGGCGCAGGCCATAAGAACCGCGCGCGGGCTGCCTAAGCCGCGCGCGAGCCTGGCGCAGCCCGTACGGGCTGCGTGCTGGTTTGGCGCAGGCCGTACGGGCCGCGTGCAGGCTATACGGGCCACGCGCGGGCCTGGCGTGTGAGAATGAGGAATGGAATAACTAGGTGAAATGTGGGTACAAGTAGAAAACCTAGAAATGTTGTACCCTATAGTATCTACCCCACTATAGCCTAGATAGACCATAGCATATAAACTTGACACACCCCCATAGGCAAAGTGGGGGAGAACAAGAGGTCACAAGACCAGTCAAGCAAAGCACAGCAAGCTCAGGGTGGATCACAACGTCACCACACATTCCGAGCACAAGTTCAAGGCCACAAGGCCAGTTCACATGCAAGATTATATATAAAGGTAAACAAGCAAGTGCAGGTATAGATAGATCACACTACAAGCAAGGTCAAGAAGTGAGCAAGTGAGGCCAAGTAGGCACAAGACCTAGCATCGTACAAAAACGCTGATGATCACAAGGCTGAAGTGCCTTGGTAAAGATATCAGCAGTGTTGGCCCTAGAGGCCACGTAAGCAAGGCGCAGCTGACCACGCTGCTGCAGCTCACGAGCAAGGAAGTAGCGAAAAGCAATGTGCTTCGTTCTGTGCTCCAGTCTGTGCTCCCGACACAAAGCCAGCATAGCCTTGTTGTCTACGTACAGAACTGGAGGAGAACGAGGCGGCTCTCCGAGGTCAGTCGGCAGGTAGGTGAGCCAGCGTAACTCCTGTGCAGCCATGGCCCCTGCGTAGATCTCAGCCTCACAGCTGGAGCTGAGAACAGAAGACGAGCGGGTAGACCGCCACGAAACAGAGCCGGAACCAAGGCTGAAGGTATAACCCTGTGACGACCGCTGCGTAGCCGAGTTTTCAACCCAAGACGCGTCTGCGTGACCAGTGAGGACCACTGGACTCCGCCCTCCAAGCACGAGCCCCATGCCTGACGTACTGCACAAGTAGCGCAACACCCTCTTCGCTGCAGCCATGTGCTCTGGTCGGTGTCTCCCAGGAGCAACATAGCGTGCCAAGATGCTAAGAGGGTATGCCAGGTCAGGTCGAGTGCAGGTCATCAGGTACATGAGGCAGCCAACAAGCTCTGGGTACGGGCCACTCAGCTCTGCGGACTCATCCAAAGGCAGCGCTGAGAGCAAGTGGCGAGTAGACAGAGGAGTGGCCTGAGGCGAGGAGTACTTTAAGTCAAAGCGCTGAAGGACCTGCTGCACCATGTGTGACTGAGTCAGGGTAATGGTGCGCCGTGCTCTGTCCCGGGTGATCTGCAAGCCAAGGTAGCTGCGCAGCTCACCCAAGTCTGTGCACGTGTGTCTCTTCTGCAGCTCGGACTTCATGTGGGCGAGTCCAACAATATCAGCTGTGGCAAAGACCAAGTCGTCGACGTACACGAGGATGTAGAACGGCGGCAAAGAGGTGTCGGTGCGCAGAAACAGCGACGGGTCGGCAGTAGAAGGAGCAAACCCAAGAGCCGCAAGTGTAGTCCTCAGTGTGTCGTGCCACTCACGGGGTGCCTGGAGGAGACCGTAGACTGGCCGCCGGAGGCTCCACTGGGTACCAGGAGGAAACGACCCAGTGAAGCCAGGTGGGCGGCGCAACCAGATCTCCTCGTGCAGGCTGCCCTGCAGGAAAGCAGTGCTGAAGTCAAGAGAGTGAAGCTCGTAGTTGCGCTGAGCGGCTATGTGCAGCAGCACCCGAAGAGTGGTCATCTTCGGGGTGGGAGAGAAGGTCTGAAAGTAGTCAACTCCCTGTCGCTGACTGAAGCCTCGAGCCACGTAACGTGCCTTGAAGACAGGCGGAGAACCCGGCGGCCGCTTCACCCTGAAAATCCACATGCCACTAACAATGCTCGCCCCAGGTGGGGGAACCTTGTCGACGTAGGTGCCTGTGGAATTCCAGGAAGCCATCTCTGCGTCCATGGCTGCCTGCCACTGAGAGGAGTAGGGACCCTCTATCGCCTCCGCGTAAGAGCGCGGAGTCGGGATGTCTGGTGCATCCCGGTCTCCCTCAGGGGCAATCAGCATGGACACGAGATGAGGTAAAAGCAGCAGCAAAGCACTTGAACTCCTCGTGCCTGTCCTCAAGGACGTCCGTGCCAAGAGCACACTCAACCCCGACGGACGGAGGACAGACAGACCCAGACTCAGCAACAAGACTAGCGGCGTAGTCTAGACGACAGCGAGCAGCGAAGTCGACAAGCTCAGCAACTAAGGCAGACGCAGCAGTGGACTCAAAGGAAGGGTCAGTGACAACAGTAGCAAGGAGACGCGTGACAGTAGGACTGGCAGCACGAAGGGAGTCTGACTCCGAGTCAGGAAGAGAAGGGAGAGAGGACTCTAGAGGAGACGGCAAAGGGACACGCAGCGGAGCAGTGGAAGGACGCAGAGACCTCCGGTGCGTACCGGGGACAGGAGGAGGACGCTGACGCAAACCACGACCACCAGTGCGAGCAGCACAGACAGGCAACGCAGGACGAGAAGCAGGCTCACGACGCTCGGCAAGACCTCCAGTAGGACCAGCGTAGGGAGAAGGAGCAGGCAGAGGGGAGGCTGGCTGTAACTGTGACTCAGACTGAACAGACGGCGGACAATCTAAGAGAGGAGCAGGACCAAGAGAGGACGGAAGACCAAGAACCTACGCAAGGAGCGGAACGAAGTACGGCCGCGGCCGCGCAGCGCCCCGAGAACCAGTAGGAACAGCACCAGCACCCCCAACGGCAGCACCAGCTCCAGTAGCACCCCCAGCTCCAGCAGCGCCAACACCAGCACCCTCAGAAGCACCAGCACCAGTAGCACCCCCTGTGCCAACACTCCTAGCCGGACCACCAGAAGACGTAGTAGCTCCAGCTCCAGCACCTCCAGCAGCACCTACTCCAGCAGCACTGCCAGCTCCAGCACCGCCAGCAGCTCCAGCACAAGGAGCACCCCCAGGCCCAGCAGCTCCAGTACCTCCAGTATGAGCACCTCCGGGACCCGTGGCACCAGCACCCTCAGCAGCAGTAGAACCTCCAACACCAGCAGCACGGCTCCAGCGCCGAGCAGACCACTCGCACAGCTCCTGTGGAGAGAGTAGCTCCCGCCGGGACGAAGCACCCGAAGGACCTCCTGACCCAGTACCGCCAGACTTGACACGAGCAGGCCCAGCACCCTTAGGCTCCGCACCCCCAGTCTCCGCACCCCATGGCTCAGCACCCCAAGTCTCAGCACACCCAGAGTCAGCACCCCCAGGCTCAGCACCCCCAGGCTCAGTACCCCCAGTGTCAGCACCCCCAGGCTCAGCACCCCCAGACCCCGCACCCGCAGGCTCAGCACCCCCAGCAGCACCAGAGTCAACAGCTACCTCGACAGGCTCGACTGCGTCTACCTGGGACACACCTGAGGGGGCAGGACCCTGAGGGGGAAGGGGGTCTACCGGAGGGGGACCTGGCGCGAGGAAGAGCGGCGGCGGGGGGAGGGGTGCATTGTGGTAGGGGAAGAGACGGTAGTAGGGAACCGACTCGTCAAATGTGACGTCTTGGGAAGACAGAACACGGCGCGAGGTGGGGTGGTAAAACTGCCAACCAGGCGCGTCAGGGGGGAAGCCAAGGAAGACGCAGGGAACAGCACGGGGGGACAGCTTGTCCGCAGACAAGTCGCGAACAAACGCCCGAGATCCCCAAACACGGAACGCAGACGCATCGCCAACCTTCCCCGTCCACCGAAGAGCAGGGGAGGTCTCCGGCATGGAGACCCGGGGCTGAAGGTTGATCTGATGCGCCGCGTATTGAACCGCGAATGGCCACAGAAAATGGGGAGCAGCCGCATGGATCATGGACGTACGAGTGACATCCAGGACCATGCCAATGCGGCGCTCAACAATCCCATTTTGCTGCGGAGAGGCCGGAAGCTTGAACGTCTGGCGGATGCCTCGTGCACGACAGAAGGCTCGCAGAAGGTCAGAGGAAAACTCTTCGCCTCTGTCGGAGTGCAGACGCAAAACAGGAAAGTCCGAGCCAAAACTCTCTCTGAGCTGGAGACGAGCTGCGCGGATCCAGTCGATCAACACCCCAGTGACCTCACCCTTGCTGCGCAAGGGGAAGACTGTGGTGTAACGCGAGTAGTCGTCAACCACCAGCAGGAAGTAACGCTCGTGACCCTGTCCACGGACGCGGGCTGGGCCCCACACGTCCATGTGAAGCGTCTGCAGCGGAGCCTCTGTCGGAGGAAACTCGGAGGAGTGAGGAGCGGCGCGTTGCCGCCCCTCGACGCAGGGAACGTAGGTAGGGGCAGGCCTCGGAGGAAGGGGAGGGAGGGACCGGGGGAGAACAGAGACAAGGACACGGGAGGCCATGCCTCGGAGACGAGGCAGGGAGGGGTGACCAAGGCGGTGGTGCCAGAGGAGAGTCTGGTGGGACAGGAGACGACACGAGCAGGGGGCAGACTCAGGACCAGACCTGGACGCTGCAGCAAATACCTGACCCGACGCGGCTACCTGACCTGGGGGGGGCGGGGTCTCACGAGTGCGGTGCTGCTGCTGGCGCTGACCACCACCGAAGCCGCCTCGCTGCGCAGAGCCACCCCGGCCTCCTCCACCGTCGCTGCCGCCACCTCCGCCACCGCCGCTACCGCCACCTCCTCCGCTCCCACTGCCACCGCCGCCGCCGCCTCCGCCTCCACCGCCGCCACTGACGCCCCCAGCCCCACCACCACTCGCATCGCCACCCCCACCACCTCCGCCGCCTCCACCGCCACCTCCACCGCCCCCGCCAGCCCCTCCAGCGCCCTTGCCCCCTTTGCCCTTGCCTGTGCGGCGTCTCTCTCTAGGGGCAGACGCAGCGCCGACCGACTCGATGCCAACGAAGTCGACCGCAGCAGCAGAGGCAACAGAGGGCAAAAGGGGGGAGGGGGAGCACCCCTCAAAGAAGGGGGTACGAGGGTCACCACGAGAGGCTCCTACAGCGACTATACTCTTCTCAGGTGCCAGGAGGCGCTCCTCGAAGAGGTTAACGGTGAGTGTGGTGGGGCAAACAGAGAGGAAGTGGTCCCTGACTGAGCGAAGGGAGTCAGGGAGCCGGGTGACTATGTAGTAGAGGGTGATGTACATGGGGGGGGGGGGGGTTCTTGGCGCAGAACTCAGTAGGGAGCGCAGTACGGTAGCGGGTGTCACTAGTGCGAAGGTGCGTAATGAGGTCAGCGACTGTGGGAAAGGCAGCGAGGTCAGGGAACAGGTACGGCAGCATGAGGCGGCTAAGGGCAGCAGTGGTAGGGGAAGAGTAGCGGACGACTACAGCATCGTACAAGGTCTTAGCACTCTTGTACTGACTAAAATGCGCACGCTCAGTGGTCGGTAAGTGACGACGCACAGCTAGATGGGAAACAGCATTGCGTGTGGCCCACTGTGAGCGAACAGTGCTGTCAGCATCAGCAGTAGGGGTAGTAGAGGCACCAGACGTGAGGTCAAATAGGGAGAGACCGTCTGTCCTATCGCACTGTAGGAAAAGCTGGAGATCATCGACCCAGACCTCAAAGTCGACAGCCCGACCCTCAGCATCAAAGGTAAGAACACTAGGGGTAGCCATGACAGCAGCGGCAGCAGCAGGCTAGCAGTAAGAGCAGTAGGCTAGGGGCAACTCAGTGGTAGAGGCGCTGCTCGGGAGTGCTCTTACCAGGGCGGGCGGGTAGAGGCCCGCAGGTGGTGAGGGGCAGGGCCGAGGCGCGCTGGCAGGGACAGGGCCGCGACAGCGGTGGCGGCGTCTCCGTCAGCGGCGGCGGCGGCGGCCGCGGCCTCAGCAGCGGTGGCGGCGGCTGCTAGCGACGACGGCGCCGGCTGTGGTCCCGGCAGCGGCAGCGGCGGCTGTCACAACGGCGGCGGCGGCAGCTGCTGCTGTAGGCGGCGACTGCGGCTGCAGCCCCGGCAGCGGCGGCGGCGGCTGTCACGGCAGCAGCGGCGGCTGCTGCTCCTGTCGGCGGGCGGCGGCGGCTGCGGCAGGGCCGTGAAGGGGGGGGGGCGAGAAGGACGACGACGGGGCCGATAAAGGGGCCGCGACGGGCCGAAAGGGGCTGCGGCAGGGCCGCGAAGGGCGGCGACGGGGCCGCTAAGGGGCCGCGAGGGGCCGAGAGGGGCGGCTACGGGGCCGCTAAGGGCGGCGACGGGGCCGCGAAGGGCGGCGACGGGGCCGCGAAGGGCGGCGACGGGGCCGCGAAGGGCGGCGACGGGGCCCCTAAGGGCGGCGATGGGGCCGCTAAGGGGCGGCGACGGGGCCGCTGAGGGCGGCGACGGGGACGCTAAGGGCGGCGACGGGGCCGCTAAGGGCGGCGACGGGGCTGCTAAGGGTGGCGACGGGGCCGCGAAGGGGCCGCTAAGGGGCCGCGAGAGGGGCCGCTAAGAGGGCGCGACGGGCCGCTAAGGGCAGGGGACGCGACGGGAGGGCGGCACACGGGGCGAGCCTCGGGCAGGGGCGACGTGTGCTCCGGGCAGGAAAAAAAAAATCCGATTTTCAGTGGTGGGCCCTAGGAAACGTTCCCACTAGGGAACCTGCTCTATACCATGTGAGAATGAGGAATGGAATGACTAGGTGAAATGTGGGTACAAGTAGGAAACCTAGAAATGTTGTACCCTATAGTATCTACCCCACTATAGCCTAGATAGACCATAGCATATAAACTTGACATGGCGCTGAGAAAACTTAGAACGAGAATGATTGACTAAGGAATGAGAGTGATACAAATGTGAAACCCTAGAATTGTGTACCCCTTAGTATCTAACCCGCTACAGCCTACACAGGCTAGATCATATAATTCTGACACACCCCCATAGGCATAGTGGGGGAGAACAAGGGGTCACAAGACCAGTCAAGCAAGGCAAAGTAAAGCAAGCTCAGGGTGGATCACAACGTCACCACACATTCCGAGCACAATTTCAAGGCCACAAGGCCAGTTCACATGCAAGACTATATATATAAAGGTAAACAAGCAAGTGCAGGTATAGATAGATCACAGTACAAGCAAGGTCAAGAAGTGAGTAAGTGAGGTAAAGTAGGTACAAGACCTAACAAAGTACAGAAGCGCTGATGATCACAAGGCGCGAGTGCCTTGGTGAAGATATCAGCAGTGTTGGCCTGAGAGGCCACGTAAGCAAGTAGCAGCTGACCACGCTGCTGCAGCTCACGAGCAAGAAAGTAACGGAGAGCAATGTGCTTCGTTCTGTGCTCCAGTCTGTGCTCCCGACACAAGGCCATCACGGCCTTGTTGTCTACGTACAGAACTGGAGGAGAACGAGGCGGCTCTCCAAGGTCAGTCAGCAGGTAGGTGAGCCAGCGTAACTCCTGTGCAGCCATGGCCCCTGCGTAGATCTCAGCCTCACAGCTCGAGCTGAGAACAGAAGACGAGCGGGTAGACCGCCACGAAACAGAACCGGAACCGAGGCTGAAGGTGTAACCCTGTGACGGCCGCTGCGTAGCCTGGTCGTCAGCCCAAGAAGCGTCTGCGTGACCAGTGAGGACCACTGGACTCCGCCCTCCAAGCACAAGCCCCATGCCCGACGTACTGCACAAGTAGCGCAACACCCTCTTCGCTGCAGCCATGTGCTCTGGTCTGTGTCTCCCAGGAGCAACATAGCGTTCCAGAATGCTAAGAGGGTATGCAAGGTCAGGTCGAGTGCAGGTCATCAGGTACATGAGGCAGCCAACAAGCTCTGGGTACGGGCCACTCGACTCTACGGACTCATCCGAAGGCAGAGCTGAGAGCGAGTGGCGAGTAGACAGAGGAGTGGCCTGAGGCGAGGAGTACATGAAGCCGAAGCGCTGAAGGGCCTCCTGCACCATGTGTGACTGAGTCAGGGTAATGGTGCGCTGTGCTCTGTCCCGGGTGATCTGCAAGCCAAGGTAGCTGCGCAGTTCACCTAGGTCTGTGCACGTGTGTCTCTTCTGTAGCTCGGACTTCACGTAGGCGAGTCCAGCAGTGTCAGCTGTGGCAAAGACCAAGTCGTCGACGTACACGAGGATGTAGAACGGCGGCAAAGAAGTGTCGGTGCGCAAAAACAGCGACGGATCGGCGGTAGAAGGAGCAAACCCAAGAGCCGCAAGTGTAGTCCTCAGTGTGTCGTGCCACTCACGAGGTGCCTGGCGGAGACCGTAGACTGGCCGCCGGAGGCTCCACTGGGTACCAGGAGGAAAAGACCCAGTGAAGCCAGGTGGGCGGCGCAGCCAGATCTCCTCGTGCAGGCTGCCTTGCAAGAAAGCAGTGCTGAAGTCAAGAGAGTGAAGCTCGTAGTCACGGTGAGCGGCTATGTGCAGCAGTACCCAAAGAGTTGTCATCTTCGGGGTGGGAGAGAAGGTCTGAAAGTAGTCAAATCCCTGCCGCTGATTGAAGCCACGAGCCACGTAACGCGCCTTGAAGACAGGCGGAGAACCCGGCGGTCGCTTCACCCTGAAAATCCACATGCCACTGACGATGTTCGCCCCAGGCGGGGGAACCTCGTCAACATAGGTGCCTGTGGACTTCCAGGAAGCCATCTCTGCGTCCATGGCTGCCTGCCACTGAGAGGATTAGGGACCCTCTATCGCCTCCGCGTAAGAGCGCGGAGTCGGGATGTCTGGTGCATCCGGGTCTCCCTCAGGTGCAAGTAGCATGGACACGAGATGAGGTGAAGCAGCCGCAAGACACTGGAACTCCTCCTGCCTGTCCTCAAGGACGTCCGTGCCAAGAGCACACTCACCCCGGACGGACGGAGGACAGACAGACTCAGACTCCAGCAACCAGACTAGCAGCGTAGTCTAGACGACAGCGAGCAGTGAAGTCGACAAGCTCAGCAACTAGGGCAGACGCAGCAGTGGACTCAAAGGAAGGGTCAGTGACGACAGTAGCAAGGAGACGCGTGACAGTAGGACTGGCAGCACGAAGGGAGTCTGACTCCGGGTCAGCAAGAGCAGGAAGAGAGGACTCAAGTAGAGAAGGCAAAGGGGCACGCAGAGGAGCAGGGGACGGACGCAGAGACATCCGGTGCGTGCCGGGGACAGGGGGAGGACGCTGACGCGAACCACAACGACTAGTGCAAGCAGCACGGACAGGCGACGCAGGACGAGACGCAGGCTCACGACGCTCAGCAAGACCTCCAGTAGGACCAGCGTAGGGAGAAGGAGCAGGAAGACGAGAGGTAGGCTGTAACTGTGACTCGGACTGGACACGCGGTGGACACTCTATGGGAGGAGCAGGACTAGCAGAGGGCGGAAGACCAAGAACCTGCTCAAGGAGCGGAAAGAAGTACGGCCGCAGCCACTCAGCGCCACCAGCACCAGAAGGGACAGCACCAGCACAGCACCCCGAACGACAGTACCAGCGCCAGCAGCACCCCCAGCTCCAGCAGCGCCAACTCCAGTGCCCTCAGGGGCACCAGCACCAGAAGCACCCTCAGTGCCAACACCCCCAGCAGCTCCAACTCCAGCCGGACCACCAGAAGACGCAGCGGGTCCAGCTCCAGCACCCTCAGTAGCACCGACGCCCGCAGCACCACCAGCTCCAGTACGAGAAGCACCCGCAGGCCCAGCGGCTCCAGTACTCCCAATACGAGCACCTCCGGGACCCGCGGCACCAGTACCCTCAGTAGTAGCAGAACCTCCAGCGCCCGCACACCTCCAGCTCCAGCAGCTCGCCTCCAGCGCTGGGCAAACCACTCACGCAGCTCTTGTGGAGAGAGTAGCTCCCGTCGGGACGAAGCACTCGAAGAACCTCCAGGCCCAGCACCGCCAGACGCCACACGAGTAGGCCCAGTACCCTCAGACTCCGCACCCCCAGACGCAGCACCCCCAGGCTCAGCACCCCCAGGCGCAGCACCCCCAGGCTCAGCACCCTCAGGCGCAGCACCCCCAGAGTCCGCACCCCAGGCTCAGCACCCCCAGAGGCAGCACCCCCAGACCCAGCACCCGC